TTTTCTTGGAAGCTAAAACTACATTGAACGCAGGAACTTGTCAAGTCGGTTAACTGGCAACCAGGTTTTATAAACTCTTCGAAACTGAGACCGAGGCGCTACATAGAGAAGATTCACGGCAGCGTGATCTAGAAACCGGGCTGCCACCAGATCACGGCCAGGATAAAGACGACCATGAAGGCCAGGCCAACAGGAGAGCCTCCTACTTCAGAGAAAGGCACGGTCTTGGAAGGCGGTGCCGGCTTTGAGGCCGGGAGAGACATGAGCTGAACGGCCAGGAGGAGAAAGAGGGGGACGAGCAGCACCAGCAGGGAAATGCTCTTCAGGAGCTGAGAGGCAACGAGGAGATAGACGTCGTCCGTGTAGAGCGGTGAAGCTAGCAGAGCAAACACGATGGCGAGGAGGACGACGGGAGCCACTGGCGCCGAAGTCTTCTGCTGGGCACTGCCGCTGTTGATGGTGGTGCTGCCTGGGATCATCCTGTCAAGAAACGAGAAAGGCAGCGCTCAGGAGGACACGAGAACAAGGAAATACAAGAAAGAAGCCCGACGATCATCCAGGAAGAACTTCTCTTTTCGAGTGTTTGAAGAAGCAGCTTACCTTTGCGTGGCGGAGAGAGCGGACGAGCCGAGAGAGACGCACAGATTACAAGCTAGCTGGGATATTCCACCGATAGTTACTGTTAAGTCAAACGAAATGGATCCGTACGGATTCGTCAGGCAAGAGATTAAATCATTTTGTTTGCCGTACGGAGGTCTCTGGTTCGAGACCAAAGTCCGGCAAAACTACACACAGTAACTGAAAACCGCCAAAAATTTGAACTAGGTAGGGTTTTTTCTCGATGATAGGGTTTTTTATCTCTTCGCCGGCGTCATTCGATCGATCGCTCCTCCTTCCAAGAATCAGGTTCGTCGATCTTCTCCGGCAATGCAGCCGATCTGGTAAGGGGCAGCAAGATCCAACTGATTGTGAAAGCTTGATCGGTGTTCTACTAGCTGCTGGAGGCGACCAGGACCACGCCGATCGCGGCTTATTCCCGGAATGGGCTCGCACCGGATTACCCTCGTGACGATCTTCGAGGCCCCCGAGAATCTGGAAGATGGTAAGAAGATCCACGCCTACCTCTCTTGCAACTCGGACGTAGTTCTTTCGTCACCATGTATGGAAAGTGTGGCAGTCTAAACGATGCTTTTTTGATGTTCCAGAGCATGGAGGAATGGAACACCGTGGCCTGGAACTCTGTCATGGGAGCTTTCGTCCAGCATGATCGCGTGGAGGAGGCGATGGAGCTCTCCTGGGAGATGCTGCAGTGTGGATTCTTGCCGAGTAGACCGACTTTCTTGACTGTGTTGGCGGCCATCTCTATCCTCGAGTCTCTACGACATGGTAAGCTTGTTCACGATACTCTTGCTGCTGAGGCTGGTCATGAGGATGATGTTGTTGTCCAGACAGGAAATGCGTGGTGGAAGCAGTGGAAGTTTTGGACCGGATGCTCCGGTTGGATGTGATGCTGTGGACTGCTGGATTCTCGGCTCACGTCAACTGCGCCGGCTACGAAGAAATTTTCTGCTCTTTCCGGAAGATGCAGCTCAAACAACCTTTGAGCGCTTGCTAGGGGCCGCAAACAGGGAAAGGCCATTGTGAGCATGGATGAAGCTTGGAAGGTGAGTGGCTTTCTTTCACAGAGAAGTCGAGTAAGATCTCTTGAATTCTCTCAAGCTAGGGACCTGTTACTTTCCCTTACAAGGATGCAAGGCCCAGGAGGACATCATGCGTGATCCTATCAGGTTGAAGCTCATTCCCATTAACTTTGAAACGAGTTTCTAGTTTTTATCAGATATGAGAGACAACGCCTCCACCTTGGTGACACGACAATACGACTCTGAAGCCGAGAAGAATGGTGTTAACATTTCTGCCGCGATGGTTGCTGGTGGCGACGAAGGCCAGTAACGAGGCTCTTGAGGATCAAGGTAAGCGAGAGCTTCATTCTTTCTAAGTTTCTTTGTGTTTTTGCTTTTTAACAAGGATCACCATTCCTCCAACAGCGACGTGGAGGACGAAATCCCCGATGGAAACGCATGTATGGAGGTATGGCAGCATTGCAAGAGCCCGAGACGGTCACTGGCTAGAGCATCATCCTACGAGAAAGATGTCCTTCCGAGGAGACTCCACTCTCGGCGATTTGCTAGAGACTAGGAATTGGATATGCTTTATTCTCCATTGGGTTTATATAAGGGCAAAAAGTGCGGAGCTTTATTTTCCTAGGGTTTATGTCCAGATAGAGCTAGCGAGAGAGATGGGGTGTTCTTCCTGGCGCAAACACGGGGTCTTGGCGGTGGCCATCCTTGGCGCCGCAACAGCAATGGCGGCAGCAACAATCTTCCTCGGCCGGTCCCTGACAGATGCGGCGAAGTCGCTGTCGGATACTGCGAGCTCCTTGAAGGAATCGCTCGATTCCTCCGCGAAATCTTTCAAGGAATCGTTCGATTCTTCTGTGGCGTCGTTCGACCGTGGAGTGGCTGCTTTGGATCGCGGCATCGACACAATCGGCGCGTTCAAGGTGCTCAAGAACGGGTGCACAGTCTCCTTAAATCCAGTCGGCTTGGTTCCGAGGGAAGATTAATGTGAGTGGTAAAGGGGAAATGCCAGATCTCGCGCTCACAGGTCCTTGCAGCTCGGCGATCGGATGATCCAAAGCGCAGGAAAGCAGCGAGCTGGCAGCGAAGCGCGATGGGTTTTTTCTCCTTTTTCTTTCCTTCTTTCTTTCGCTTCCTTTGACTGACACATTTTGAGCGAGCAATTGTATAGGTTTTGCGAGCGTTTGTATAGATTTGCGAAGGAGAATGTAACAATTCTTTCGGACGTTCTAGTTTCCGATCTCTTTGCTCTCCAGCATGCAAGTTTAAGGTAGAATCTGTTTGCTAGCAGATGATTAATCTTCCTTTTTCCTTTCTTTCTTATAGACCGGAGGGAACCTTCTCGAGCAGTGGCAGCATGAAGAATTCCATGGTTAGAAACCTCGCGCTGCTTTCTTGTGCTTTTTTCCATTGTAGACAGGCACTCTCGTTTTAATGAATGCTAGCCTGTTGGTTTTACTCGTTTTATCTCTTTAAATCTCTTTAAAGCTCTGTGGTTTTCTCACACAACCGCGCTTGGCGCTTCACGCTTTGTTTTGCAGGTCAAGTAGCGTGCCAAATCGCTGAGCAGCGGTGTCATCACGAGCACCAAGCAGCCCTGGAGGAGTGGGGGTGCTACTTTGGCTACGATGTGAAAGTGAACAGACTTCTCATGAATAGAGCGAAGAAATGCCATGGCTAGTCCATGCCTGGCATGGTGGTAAGTTCCTTCGTTTTTCTGATGTGTGCTTCTTTGAACTTGATATTTCTTGATTCGGAGACTGCTGCTGTACCGAATGAGATGATGCTGCTGCTGCTAGCGTCACCACAGGTTGCAAGCTCTCTTTTCTCTTTGGAAACTTCTCAGGCAGGGACTGTGGTTAGAACGCCAGAGAAGTAAAGACGTCTACCAAACTTATCTAGTACGAGGCACCGAGTGGAGCACCGAGGACGAGGTCGAGCGCGACTCTTCTCTCTTGTCCGTTGCTGGCGAGAGGTTCCAAACCCACGCCTAGCAAGAGCAGCATCACGGTGGATGACTTCGCAGAGAGAAAGTTCTCAGATCGCCAGGAACGCTAGTGACGTCCCACTGGCGGGAGCTAAGAGCGGCGAGCTTGGCACTATTACGACTACTACATACCAACAGCAGCAGCAGCGAGAGCAACGAGGGAGGGGGATCCCTTTGTGCACGTAGAGTTCCGGTGAAACATCGAGAGGACGCTGGCGAGGCTGCGAGCTAACGAAGTCAGCTTCTCGTGAAGCTCCTCAGTCTTCATTCCCTGGAAGTCACAGAGTAAGAAACAAGAACAAAGGCTGAAACTTACGTCATACTATAACACGATGCCGTTTGATACGCCAGGCACTTTTGAGAAATAAAAACATAATAATAAGTAAATATAAATTAGAATTCATAATTTATTGTATTTTTTAGATTATATATGTATTGTAAGAAAATAATCACAAATAGTTACTATCAACTAAGATAATGTATATGAGGTTGGTGACAATTTCATTATAGAGTTATTGGTTTTGGTATTCATTAATAGTCTTGCAATCAATAAAACCAAATTTCATGTCAAAAATATTTAAAGTGAGTAATCATATATTCCCTATATATTTCTATTGGCAAGAACCATAAGACACTCACATAAAACAAAGTAAGTAAGATAAAATAAAAGAAATAAAAGAATAATTTACATTAGAATTTGTTGAGTGAACAAAAATAAGTTAATTTATGTTTTAATGCATGGAAAAAGTGTTAAAAAAAGTTTTAACAAAAAAAAACTTTTAAAAAAATATTGTGTTCCAAAATTTCATTCAATCAAATATGCACACTTTTGCCAAGGTTTTTCCACTAAAACTATTAAGTTTTTTCTCAATTTTTAATTTAACTATAATTTATTCATTTTTTTATCTTTAGCAATGAAAGTAAACCTAACATATATATGAGAGTAATTTTCTAGGCTTCTTTAACTAAAATAATGTAATTTTCTTTATAGTTCATAATTATACATTCCAAAAAATATAACACTTATAAAAGGCATTGGATAAATACTCTCTCTCTCTCTCTCTCTCTCTCTCTCTCTCTCTCTCTCTCTCTCTCTATATATATATATATATATATATATATATATATTCGCACATTGCATTGCTTATTTCAAAATTATATATTATAAAAATTGTTCTATGTTGGAACAATTATATTATATATTATAATATTAAGATGTAATAAAGTTTTAAAATTAATAATTGAACTATGAAAAGAAAAAGTAAATCAGTCTTAGAAGCTTGCTTATTCTGGGTATACGAAACAAAGTTTAAATAAATTTATAACATTTAGTAGAATATCTAAGAATGCTTTACACGCTCTTAAGCTTTTTCGTGATAGTGCTTTGTTCAAGGGCGGCAACACCACGTTCAAGGGCGTCAACACCGCGGTTAAGGGAGCGAACACCGCGGTCCAAAGATTGGGTAATTTTATCACATGACTCACGAGTCACATCTCCAATCTCTGTAATCGACTTCGCAATTGATTTCGCACCTTCAGATATTGAGCGTCCAATAAAATATGCTGATCCCGCCGCCCCCACCGCTGCGCCAAGGACTGCCACAGCCACCAGGTCATCCATAGCTTGAAAACCCTATAGTAAGCTCCTGTATTTAAACCACTTGCGCCTTTACCTTTTCTATATCGTGTTGAGGAAGGTGGCTCGCCGAGCTTTGCCTTCTTGCTGGGAGTCTCGCGCAGACGTAGAGGGCGATGTGGATGGTGACTTTGTCTGGAGGAGTTCCTCTCTACCTACAGTTACCATAGTCTCTCAGTGTTCCAGTTGCTTTGAGGACCATCGGGCTTATAGTTTTCCTTTGAAGGAGGAAATGGAACACCGCGTGCAACTCCCTCGTGGGACCTTATCTCCAGCATGATCGCGTGGATGAAACAATAGAATTCTACTGATATGCTGTGCAGTGTGGATTCTTTCCGAGTAGTGACTTCCTATGGCGGCCATCTCTAGTCTGTATGACATGGTAAGCTCGTGCATGACACTCTTGCTGCTGGTCATGAGATGATGTTATTGTCCAGACAGCGCTGGTAAACATGTACTGGAAATGCGAAAGCGTGGTGGAAGCAGTGGAAGGTTTGGACCGGATGCTCTGGCTCGATGTGATACTGAGGAGTGCTGGATTCTTGAATCACGTCAACTCTGGTTTTTCTAGAACATGTGATGCTGGTCAGTGCTTTGAGCGCTTGCGAGGGGCCGCAAACAGGGAAAGGCTATTGTGAGCATGGAGCTTGGAAGGTCGTGGGCTTTCTTTCACAGAGAAGCCGAGTATAAGATCTTTTGAATTCTCTCAAATGATAGGGCGCTGTTACTTTCTCTTATCAGTGAGGTTTCGTTTATTTTCATTGTTTCTTCTTTTTGTTCAGCTTTGAGAAACAAAGCTTCCACCTCGGTGACAGAAATACGACTCTGCTGAGAAGGCCATGGCTGCTGAGATGGTTTATTCTTTCTAAGTTGCTTAGCTTTGTGTTTTTGCTTGTTCCCAAGGACTTCAAAGCATGCTCGAAGTGCTGCGAGCTTCATATATATCAAGTGAGCGGTGACGGAAAATATAAAGGGAAGAAAGTGTCCAATTAGGTTTAGGGAACTTCAATGTTTAATCGTCGGGAAAGGCATGATGGGGGCTTCCTCAACCATTTCAAGACCTGATCAAGCCGATGGGTTTAAACATTTGCCACTACTCAAGGCAGACGCACTGCTGGACTGCCTAGCTGAGATCACTGACGCGCAATTGTCATGTCAGGCTACGACGATTCTTTAAGGGTGGACTGGTTTAATTTACCTGGGCCATTTTAGCGAGGTCATGGCTAAGAGTTACTTTCGTATGCTACTCACAACAACCTGGACGAGGTGGTTAACTTCCTGGGTACTCCTGGGAAAGGTATATCGGTGGCTGCCCGTTGCTGCTCAACGAATGTGCTGCATTTGCATTCATGTCTCAAAACCCCAAGGATTTGGACACAGTTCTTGGCGGAATAGCGTCCAAGATGAGCAGCCGGGTGTACAGTGGCTTGGCAGGTGGCAACGGGTGAGTTCTTTTCCTTTCTTTCTTTTTCATTTTTTTGTGTGCTGGTTTTTGTTCAGGTGGGAGGGAAACAAGTTTAGGGACGTGATGGAAGTATTTTCAGAGGGAGGAGGGGCCACAGAATGGGATGCTGTGTGTGACAAGGTGTTCAACAAAGATGAAGCAGCATGCATTTCACAACTTCATGCAATTGGAGCAGTTGGTGTGGCTTATATTCAGTTTGTTCCCAGCTCAAATCCCCTGTCCAGTGTCAAGCAACCAGGAATGTTATTGCTCAACTGAGATTAAATTGTCTAAACAACACTTAAAAGGTTAATATTAACATCATATTATTTTTCAAAATCTAAATACGTTTATAAAAAAAATTAAATAAAATTCACACGCTCTTAAGATTTTTCGTGATAGTGCTTTGTTCAAAGGCGGCAACACCGCGTTCAAGGGAGTCAACACCGTGTTCAAGGGAGCCAACACCGCGTTCGAGGGAGGCCACACCCCGTTCGAGGGAGCCAACAGCGCGTTCAACACCACGGTCCAAAGATTGGGTAATTTTATCACATGACTCACGAGTTACATCTCCAATCTCTGTAATCGATTTCGCAATTAATTTCGCACCTTCAGATATTGAACTTCCAATATAATATGCTGATCCCGCCGCCCCCACCCACACCGCTGCGCCAAGGATTGCCGCAGCCACCACATCATCCATAGCTTGAAAACCCTATAGTAAAGTCTTGTATTTAAACCACTTGCGCCTTTACCTTTTCTATATCGACTGCCAGCCATCTCGTACATGTTGAGGAAGGTGCTGTTTGCCTTCTTGCTGAGATTCTCACGTGAGATTCTCACGGGAAAGGCTATTGTGAGCTTGGAAGGGCTTTCTTTCACAGAGAAGTCGAGTATATGATCTCTTGAATTCTCTCAAATTATAGGGAGCTGTTACTTTCTCTTATCAGGAAGCTAGGCCCAGGATGACATCACGAAGTTTCGTTTCATTTTCATTAGCATCGAAACGAGTTTCTTCTTTTTCTTCAGCTTTGAGAGACAAAGCTTCCACCTCAATCACAGAGATATGACTCTGATGAGAAGGCCATGGCTGATCAAGTAAATGAGAGCCGTGTTTATGCTTGCTCACAAGGACTTCAAAGCATGCTGGAAGCGGCGCGAGCTTCATATATACCAAGTGAGCATCGTTTTTCTGTCTTGTATTGGTGACGATGGATTGGTCTATAGACAATTGGTATAAAAGGAAGAAAGTGTCCAATTAGTTTTAGGGAATTTCAGCTCAA